GGTGCAGGATCTTTTCTTTTACAATCACTATAAAAACAATAAGATCAGGTGTGATAAAAAGACAAAACAAGAGAGGTGGTGATGAAAAAACAGATAGGCCTAATGAGGTACATGGTTATTTTGGTAACTTTAAAACGTACCAACTGTCATAAATACTCATTTTTACGATATGCAACATGAGTCTTTACCGAACACGTTAGTAGATAATTCAAGTTTATCTACTGTATTTCACTATGGAGGAAAAAAATGATTTCACTATACTACACTCCATGCCATTCCTCTCCTGGACCTATATATTGTTATATTCATATTTAATATTATATCTGTTAATTGTTGTCTTGTATATTATAGTGATGTTTTCGATTTCTACTGTTTGTTATCAACTCAAAGAAACAAATCTCGTATATGAACTATGTATGACGAAAATAAATCTTGAATCTTGATGTGTAGAAATTAAAGGAGATACATGTTGACAGAATATATGAAATGATGATAATAGATAAAACAAAAGATCATTGTTTGGGAAGAGGTAATGTGATAGTGGTGAGAAAGGAGTATGGAGACATTTGTTAATGAGAAGGGAAAGGAGATAGTTAAAATGGTGAAGAGAAATACAGGTGTTAATGGATAAGAGTTAAAGCAGTGAAGGCACCAGGATCCGCCCAATGAAGGGGCTAAAGGACCCAACCGGGGCTAAACGAGCAAAGCTAGCATTTGGCTAAGGGATGACTGGGACTCCCAGTGGGTGTCAAATGCAAAGAATCGCTGGACTTCGAATACTGGACTAATTTTGTTGAATTAATTAGGGTTTTAATAGGCATCAGGCTAATGTAGTCAGAGGTGGAGATTTCAAATTTTTGTAGCCCTCGGATCTCACACATTAGACGATTAAATGCCTAAATTAATTGAGTTTTGAGGAGGAAATATGACAAAAATATTGTTGTACAAATTTTTACAATGGATTACCAACTCAAAATAACTAAGATATAAAACATGGAAAAAAAACCCCAACTAATTCGTACTTGCCTTTTTATACCTAAGTGCAGTTTTATCTAGAATAATTATATTAAGTTGAAACCACATACTTTTTTTTACCCACTCAACCAAAGTTTCAACCCGAAAACAAACCTCAAACAACCAATTTTGAAGTTTATGATTACGTTTCTGTGAATTAACCCACTGAGATGTGAAATGACAAACTCATATATTGGTAAGGGGCTCACTGAAGAAATGTTTGCCCAAACGAACATAAACCTGCGATATTATTTTTTTACACTCTTTCATTTCCCGACAAAATCTACCCTTTTCCCAGCCTGGGTAAAGGAACACAATGTTCATGTGTTTGATGACCAATACATACTTGCAGACCTACTCATCTTGCCTACCTGTAATAATAGCCGGTTTCGTTCGCCAAACTCTCTTCGACAGCGCAGTGTATTGTGGTCTGTGCACCATCTTCAGGGGTTTTAATCAAGATGAAAGCGATCAAATATATGAGAGCGAGTTTCCAGGAACTGAAGTCACGTGCAATTTCTGTTAATACAACGCCAGGATGCAGCGAGTAGCAGGTGACACCAGTTCCTACAATGACCAAAATAAAGTAGTGTTTTTTTTTTTGTTTTTTTTTTTAGTAAATTGATGACATCTGTGAATACAATATGTGGCTACCACAGATAACTTATATTTATAAGATTATAGGGAGGTGCATCCGGATTAAAATAAATGGGTCAAAGCTTTTGTACAATACTATTATTAGTGTCTTCTTCATTTGTCCCCAATCCTCCCTTTGTACCTCAACCCAAAGTCACTCAAATGTAACACAATATCCATAGCGGTACCAAATTATTTAACAATCTCCCTAACATTATAACCTTGTCCCCCACAAGTAAAATATTCTCATACAAATTTAAAAAATACCTTCTTTCAAATTACAATTAATGTAATACTTAGTCAGTCATGTTTTTTATGATTATGATTTACACCATAAATTGTGCTTCCTCTTTATGTGCAACACAATGTCCATTATAGCGGTACCAAATTATTTAACAATCTCCCTAACAATATAACATTGTCCCCCCAAGTAAACTATTCTCATACAAATTTAAAAAATACCTTCTTTCAAATTAGGCCTTCAATTAATGTAATACTAGGTCAGTCATGTTTTTTTATGATTTACATTAATTAATTGTGCTTCCTCTTTATGTTTATATGTCTATATTTATAGTTCTTCATAATTATATATTTATTTATTATTTACTATAAAATATTAATTGGCTAGCCTATCACAAATTTTAATTGGATTTTGTTTCCAATTAATTTTACTTTACAGGGCACATGCCTCTTTCCATTTAATTTATATTTGCTAAAACATTGTATATACATACATAAATACTTTAAATATCTGTTAATAATTATTTTTAAATTATTATATAATTTGAAAGAAATAAATGTTGATTTGAATTGAATGGAATTGAATTGTTATTAAATCTAATTTCAACAATTTTTGTTGGAAAATGGATTAGAAATGACGAATACAAAGTACTGTATTTTGAATGCACAAGACCTGCCTTTTTTGAAAATAGTGTTAACAAAAGCAGAAGACAATACAGTCTACTTGTAAAGTTTGCTTGTTTTTTAATCTTACGCAAAAACAAGTCTCTTATTTTGTTATTTGGTATTTATATAGCGCTTATTCCTTTAGGCTAGAAAGTGCTTTATTTTCCCTGGTCATTACTATAGGTCCACATGCTTAAGTATTGCTGTCATAAAGCCACAGTAGCAGGCAACCCCACCAGGTACAAGTTATACTCCTTGGTGGAGAGAAGCTTCAATGTTTGGTATTAAAATTAGATCACTTATTGTTTTAAGAACAAAATCAAGGTTTTGATGAAGGACCCTGGAAATAAAAACATCCAAGCACTACCAAAGCTATAGGATCGCCACTCTTTGCAATTGTTTAGAGAGGTACCTTTGTTTACCTTGTAATCTTCTTGCTAGTTCATTTGTAAACAGAATATTTGCTAACTTGCTTTGGCCATACGCTAAGTCTGGGTCATAGTTGTCTTTTAAATTAGGATCATCGAAGCGGATTTTCATTTTTGGATTTCTATGAAGCTTTGAAGATACATTTATGATTCGACTTGGGGCTGAGTTTTTTAGCAAGTCTAACAGGAGGTTAGTGAGGAGAAATGGGCCAAGATGATTAGTACCCCATTGCAATTCAAATCCATCTGAAGTTTCATGTCGTTCCGTCTTGAAGACACCTTAAAAGC